AAAATTAAACATTATTATTATTATTATAACCATCATCGTCTAATTAGAACTCAATGTTACCACGTTAAATAATTAATAAAAAATGAAAATTTCAATTCGCGAAAGTACTTCCGGTTTCTAAATTTTTAAAAAAGATCGTTAATGATTATTTGCAAAAAAAATAAAAAAAAAAATTTTTTTCTTTTTCGAAATCCAATTATCTTCTTAAAATAATTTTTTACTTTATATTATTATCATCATCATAAGTACCGACCTTATTTTTTTCTCAATGATATAATATTGTTCTTAAAAAAAAAAAACAAACAAAAAAGTTTTTGTTTATTATTATTATTATTAGAAGAGCTGGAAAATTGATGTGGAATTACAAATCCTTTAAAAAGGTTTTTTTTTTCTTTTTGTTTCCTTTTTTGTCGAGTATCATTTAAAATTGTTATTATTATTATTATTATTACTATTATTATTATTATTATTATTATTATTATTATTACTATTATTATTATTATTACTATTATTATTATTATTATTATTATTATTACTATTATTATTATTATTATTACTATTATTATTATTATTATTACTATTATTATTATTATTATTATTATTACTATTATTATTATTATGTACGTAAAAGGAAAACATTTTTTAAAAGAAAAGAAATGGAAAAAAATTCAATGGTACATAGTTAAGAGAGTAAATTAATTTTTTAATGGGAGTTTTTTTGTTTTTTTTTTTTTTGAATTTTGTGTTGACCCCGCTGTGGTTGCAGTCTCTCTCTCTCTCTTTTATTTTTCTCTCTCACTCTCTCTCTCTTAGTTGTTTTCAAAAAAAAAAAAAAATCAAAATTTTTATGGAACGAAAAATAAATGCCGACAATTTCATAAAAACGAATAAAATAAAAATGAAAATAAAAAAATTTTTTTGTCTCTCTCTCTCTCCCTCTCTCTTCACTCTCCCTCTCTCTCTCTCTCACCAACTTTTCTCTTTCATATCCTCATTTGCCTAAAAGGAAATTAAAAGGAAATTTTAAAAAAAAAAAATTTCATTTGAATTCAGTCAGGGTCACGTTAATGACAAATAGCCTTCCCCCTTCCTCTATAAATGGCTAAATAAAAAGCGCGACAAAAAAAAAATGAGGAGACATTAAAATTTTTTATCATCATCATCATCATTATTATTTTTATTGTTATTAATTTCCCTCGAACAACATCCGGTGATAGGTTTTTTTTTTTTTAAAAACAAAATTAACGTTAAAATTTTTTTTTGTTTGTTTCAAAAAGGAAGTTAGGCTATAACGACCGACAAATATTAATAATAATAATAATAATAATAATAATATTTTGAAAGGGGTTTAATGAAATGAATAGTAGTAGTAGTAGCTGTATTAGTATCGTGGAAGAAGAAAATTTTAAAAAATTTAATTTAATTTATTTTGACAAAATTTTGTTTTATTTCGGTGTTAAAGTGTAAACCTTGACGAAAATTTACTTTCTAAAAATATATACGCATACATACAGATATATATATATATATATATATATATATATATATATATATATATATACAAATATAATCTTTTCAAAGCCTCAGAGATTCAAATGAAAGCTTTAATATAGCGACGGCAGTGTCGTCGTTTCAAAAAAAAATTAAATGGCATGAGAGAAATCCGTGAGTGACTTTAGTTTTCCTTTCCTCTTAAACTAACTAAATTTTAGTTTAGAATAATAAATTCAATTTTATATTTACAAACACTCTGAATGCCCGAGTTTGTTCATACGTGCACGCGCACGCACGCACGCACGTGTTTTTTTTTGTAATTAATTAAAAAAACATCATTATTATCGTCATCGTCGTCTTTGTGACGTTTTTAAAAATTAATCGTTATCACTTACGTAAAGGTTAAATTGGGTTTGTTGATCGTTTTTAGATGTCGTGTAGTAAGTTGTTGTTGTTGTTGTTGTCGTAGAATTTGTAATGCATAATAATGATAATATTTTTCATTGATTGTTATGATAATCGACTGATGATGAGTAAAAAAAAAAAAAAAAAAACGAGAGTCAACAAACGAATATAAATAATTATGATAAGCTAGATATGAGTTAGGAAAAAATTGATAAATATTTATTATGTTCGAACGGAAATGACGTATGGGTTTCCGGTATTTTAAATAAAATAGAAAAAAGTTTAAAAAAAAAAAACTTCAAATTTATTTATTCATCTGAAAATATTTCTAGAAAAAAATTTTTTTTTGTAGACTTTTTTTTATTCGGTTTTTTGTTGTTTGTTCTTTCGGAAAAAATTAGATTAGTATCTATGTTTGTTGTTTGTTTTTTGTGGTCGTGTCCGAAGCTTTTCAGGTTTCTACCTAATTTTTAATGTCGGTGACAGTTTTAAAATTTTTCAGTAAACCTTTTTTCTGATTCTTTGGCTCCTGTTTGTTTTTTTCCGCTGATACTTTCCCATTCGAGTTGTTATGTTGGCACGCTGTCGTAACTCAACTTTTGGGTAGTATGATTACGCATTATGTGAACAATTACTTCCGTTTCATATTTTCCAAAATAATGACTTTTTTCATCGAAATTATTTGCAATAAATATCGGTCGACCGGAAATGAACCGATCGATGATTTCCTATCGCGATTGAAAATTTTCCCGCACGTGTATATAAAACATTTTTTATTTAAACATAAACAAAACATATTTTTTAATTTTATTTTTATTGTTAAACAAAACAAAAAACAACAATACCGAACAACGACAAACAACCGAATAACAACCGTAATAAAATGAATAATTTTTTTTTAAGTTTCTTTTTAAAAAAATTACGACGCTAATAAAATTTTCTTCGGGTTGTTTAAAAAAAAAAAAATTTTATTATGCTCCACGACAAACCGGAAATTCAAAAAAAATCACCTTAAAGGTACAAAATTTTGGGATTTTTTTAAGGGTATGGGGGGGCGTGGGTGGAAAAGAAAACGTTTTTTTTCCTACGTGACGTATAATAAGAATAAAACCTTTTGACAAAAGATATATATATATGTATAATATTTTTTAAATGTAAAATTTCTCGAAGGAATTATGTTTTTGTTGTTGTTGTTATTGAAAAAAAAAAAAAATCTCCATGTTTATTTTTATCGTCGTGTAAAAAGAAAAAAAACCGTTAGGAAAATTGATATTTAAAATATGAAAAGATAATTTAAATATATATATCTATTAAAAGTATTTTATGTGCGATAATAGATAAATTGTAAACGTTTCGTCTAGACTTTGTTAAATGATAACAAAAAAAAAGAAAGTTGCTTCCACGTCGTTTTAACTATTATTATTATTACTTTTTTTATCGTAACTTTTTTTTCTATTTTGCTGTTATTTTTTTGCATGCAAACAAAATTTTTTAACGCACGTTTCGTTCGGTTAAATTCGGTTATTTTCGTATTGGAATCGTCAGTTTTTTTTTTATTTATCACCGACTCGACGATCGACCAATGAGAAAAATTTAAAGAATTTTTTTTTTTTTTTGATATTTTATCGATTTTTAAAAAAATTCGTTACCTAACTCTGTAAATGAAAATTTTTATCAGAAAAAAAAATGCAAAAAATAGCAGAAGAAAAAATAAATAATTCAAAACAATAAAAATGTACAAGAATGAAAAAAAAGTAGAAAAAAAAAGGAAGGGAAACGGGGGGTGGGGAAAGAAATTATTAAGAAAACATAAAGTGTATAAAAACATAATTTATGAAAAAGAAAAAAGATGAAAAAAAAAGAATGAATGAATGAATGAAAATAAATAAAAAAAAAGTTTTTTGTAAAATTTGAATGATTTATTTTTAGGTAAAAAATTTTTAAAATTTATTTTTTTGTGTAAAACTTTTTTTTTTTTTTAAACATTCATTGGAATTAAATCATTGTCCGTTTTCGTATTATTATCATCATCATCATCATCATCATTATTATTATTATTATCTGTTTGATATATGATTTTATTATTTGATTGTTCGAGAAACTTTGAATTTTAAGGGATTGAATATTTTTTTTTTGTCATTTGCTAATGAAAAAGGTTTTTGTTATTGTTTTGTCCGAATTTCCTTCCAGTTTTCCTTTTTTCCCTTTTTTTTATAATGGGAACAAAAACTGTTGCTGTTGTTGTTGTTGTTGTTGTTGTCGTTGTCGTGCGTGTGAGAAAATAAAGAAAAAAAAAATAAACAGTAACAAAATGTTTGTTATGTTTTAATATTTTCTCATTATGTTTTTTATTTTTATTTTTTTTGATGGTATTACCGAATTCAAACACGTATGTACGTGATAAATTATTATTATTATTATTGTTATTATTATAATGCTTCTTTTGAATTTGTTGAATTACATTTTGCACTTTAAACTTGTGTTGTATGACGTAAAAAAAAAAAAAAGGAGAGAAAGAGAAAAGAAACAATAAAACACGTCGGGGATAAAAAATTCACGTGAAAGAAAATTTTATCGTTTCTCTCTCTCTCTCTCTCTCTCTGGACTATTTTTTTTTTTTTATTCCATAAAATTATTTGTATTCTGCTATAACTCTCCCTTCTTCTCCTCCCCCCTTTCATTCCCGTAAAAATTATCATTGTGTAACATTTTTTTTTTTTAACCTCCGACATCCATAAAATGTCTGTCTGTTCTCGCGATGGCAGGTTAATCAAAATAAAATTTGTTGTTTTCTTTCTTTCTAGATTTTTCCACGTGGGAAAAATAGGAAAAACGTAAGGGATCGAATCAATGAGAAAATCAATCGTAAAAATTTACGTTAGAAAAAAAAAATGTACGTCGCGAATATGTACGCTCTATTGAAAAACGATAAAATAAATCAAAATATCAACCGGATGTGATAAATAATAATAGTAATAATAATAAATATTACGAAGAAAAAAAAAAAGTTTAATCATCGTTTGATATAAGTGCGACAAATTTTTTTTTTTTTTGTTTGTGCGAATTATCCGTAAAAAAAAAAAAAAAAAAAATCCGGCCAAATGCCGGCTCCAGCCATGTTTTCGAAATTTAAGTATGTTGGAAGCGGCGCATCCGCCCAACAAAACATTCTCGATAACAATCCGATATCGCAATTTTTCGAAGTTGGAAAACAAACTTCTAGTGCCGGACCGGAACTCATATGGAAAATTCACGATGCTTATCGGAAAAGCGACGGAAAAGTAAGTAAGATTTAATTATTTTTATTTATTTATGAAAAACAACCGGAAATAAAAAGAATGTGTTTTCGACCATTTAAAAAAAACATTCATTCATTGAATTAATTAATTGGAGATTTAAATTTAATTAAATATATATTAAAAAGGGATTGAAAATTATCAGGGTACTAATGCCACGATAGAAACGTCATTATTTTTTCTTTTACAACTTTATTATTATTATTATTACTATTCGAAACATAATTTTCATTGTTTAAATTTTAAATTTGAATTTGTTTGTTTCCTCTAAAAAAAAAAAAAAAAAAAAAAAAAACAAAAAACAAAATTCGTTATAAATTTTTGGACATGACATTTTTTTTTTTTTTTTTATCTTCAAAGTTGATTTTTGAATACGTGAAACGGTAAAAAACATAACAAAAAAAAAGTTTTGAGATGTGTTATTAGTTGTTGTTGTTGTTGTCGTTGTTAATTTTTAATTATTTCAAACGTAAAGTCATACTAATAATAATAATAATAATAATAAAAATGTTATTCCCTTAATTCAACATCGTAAATGTATAAAGTGAAACCTTTTGATGAACAATTCAAAGAATAAACATTGAACGGTGATGAATGATTTATTTCAACTAATCTAGAAATTTCGATGTTTGTTACAAAACAAAACAATCAAACAAATAAACAAACAAACAATCAAACACGAGCTCGCACGAACGCAAAAGATTTTCTACAGTTTCTATTTTATAAAATTTATTTGATACCGTTTTCTGTTTTTTTTTTTTTTTGTTAACCTAATTTCTTTATTTTTAACGGGGGGTTATTGTTATTATTATTATTAAATAACGAACGGATAAAAATTTAATTTAATTTTCTTTAAATGTTTTAACCTCATCCCCCGCGCCCCCGCTTTTTTGTTTCTCTTTTGTGTGCGCGCGCGGGAAATTTTTTTATTTTAAATAAATTTAAATGATGGATTTTGACGTTAAGGTTTGGAAACTTTTTTATTTTTTTTTATTTGGGGGGGAAAGCTTTAAAGATATGATTGATTGACGGTTTGAACGGGAAGAGTAGGGGAGGAAAGTGGGGGGTTGATTCTTTGTAACGAAAATATTATTTTATTATAATAAAACAATTATTTGATATGATTTTCTAAAGGCAAGAAAGGGTTTTTAATTAAATTTACAAAGGGTGGAAAGTTTACTATTATTATTATTATTATTGTTATTATGAAAACAGTAGAAAATTTAAATAATTTGATAATGATTGAATATAATAGAAAATGGCAAAGCGTGTACTTTTTTTTTTTTTTAATTTTTTAAGAAGCTAAAAAAAATACAAACAAAGATGCGTTCGACAATATAAACATGTACGAAAAAGTCAAAAACAAACAAGCACAAATACTCAGGCAAACACAAACAAAGTCACAAACGATTGGACACAAACAGAAAAAAAAAAAACAAACACCCACACGCTGCCGACGGATACAAACTCAAACTTATAAAAAAACACCCACGTACAAACGAATTGACCGACAAAATCACCCCCACACGCAAAAAACGCAAGAACAAACGCGCAAACTAAAATTTATATAAAAACAAACGACAAATACTTTACGCGGTTACAAACAAATACCAAAAAAAAAAAAAAAAAAAAAACACAACAAACACAAAAAAAAACGCATAATTCATAACGACAGAAAAAATAAATAAATATTTAAATTAAAATTTATAAATTTTATTTTTACGATAAAATTCGAAAAGGCGGTGAGATCGACGAAGAAAAAGAAAAAAAAATGGCGGACGGGACGACATTTTGTAATAGGAAAAAATTTTAATCTAATGAAAAAACTTTTTTTTTTTCCTTTGTTCGTTTGTTTGTTTTGCTCTTCGAAACAATAGTAATATTAATTGTTTATTATTCGAAAAATGTATCATTATCATTATTATTTATTTATTTAAAATTAATTTTTTTTATGACGTCACACGAGAAAATAGGATTCAAATTGGGAAAATGTTTTTTTTTTACAATATCAATAAATTTTCTTACATTATAACAAAAGTTTTCATGTGTATACATAAGTAAATACACATTTTTCTTCTTTTAGCGAGAGGGGAGGGGGGAGAGAGGGGGAGGGAAAGTAGAAGGGTTCGGATATAGATTTTCACGAAAAGCTTTTTATAGAATTATTTTAAAAATAATTTTCTTCAAGGTTGTCGAATCGTGACTTAAAAAAAAAAAAGGAAGAAAAAAGGAAAAATGTTTTTAAAAATATATATACGTTAGTATCATGTCTAACCGAAATTTTTATTTCTTATTCTTTACACCTCTGAGAAAAATTTTTATAATTTTCCACGTGAATGAAACCACGTGCGACATAAAAAAAAATTTTTTTTCGTGGGAGTAATCGGTGTAAGTCGGTTTGTAATGGCGTAAAATCAAATTTCGTTTTTTTTTTGCGGTTCGACTTGTGTTTATTCGACTGTGTTTGTTTCTGTGCGTATATGTTAGTTTGTTTATTTGTGTTTGTTTGTTTGTTTCTGTGTGTGTTGGCTTATTTCCGTGTGTGTGTTTGTTTGCTTCAGTGTGTTTGTTTTTGAGTATGTGCACGTGTTTGAGTGCGTGTTATTGTGCGTGTTTGTATGTGAATGCATGAGCGTTAAGTTAGGTGAATGTTTTTCTCCATTTTCACGCGGGTTTCCATGTTTTTTTTGTTCGCGTTTTTCCTCGGTATGTAAGTGCGCGCGACACAAGCGTGCCGACGTGTTTTTAACGACTTGTTTATGTGTTTAGTTTTCAAAAGGTTAAAAGAATCATTTTAAAGAAAGGAAGTAATTAAAGTGACTTATTTTAATTATTATTATTATTACGTTTCGTCACCGACATAACCAACCAATTACGACGACATTTTTTTACGGGGTAAATTTTTACAAAAAAAAAAAAACTCAAATTCTTATAATAAAATAAACCAATTAATTAATAGGTAAATTTTATTCGATGCGGTTTCTCTTTCCGGTTTGTTTTTTTTTAATTAAAATTGATGAATTTCTCGGTTTTAATAATTAATTAAAATTTCACTTTTACGAAATTCATTTCGTACCTCCGGAGAATAATTCATCCATTCATTCATTCATTCATTCATTCCTATCTCTTCTCTAATATTATTATTATTTATCTGAAAGTTTACATTAATGGAATTTGATTCGAAATATCATATTAGAAAAACCTTTTAAGGTTGTATTATAAAAAAAAAAAAAGAAAAACATTTTTTTCAATTAGAAATAAATAAATGTAACGTATTTTTGTGACGTCATATACATATCTATGTAAGCAAATGTTTATTCCAACGTTTTGCGGTGTGGGGGGGGGGTTTCTTCTAATGGTTAATTGTTATGCGGTTGTTTTGATGACGTAATAAAACCTTTTAAGATATTATTATTAATATGTATGACGTTAAATTAATTGTTTAAAAAAAAATAACAAGTAAAATAAAACTAAGCGTCGGATGGTATAAAAAATAAAAAAATTTTATATTTTTGCAATCGATAATAATAATAGTAATAATAATGATAATTTTTTTTCAAAGAAGCGTGACGATTTTAATTAAAATAAAAAATTTAAAAAAAAAAAAGCGGATAATCATTTTCGTTTCTCGAATTTAATTAACACAATTATTAAAATTTTTTGTTAAGTTAAACGTGGAACTAGAAACGAATTCGAAACGTGCCAAAAAATAAAAAATTTGAAATTTTTTAATTTCTTCCTTTTTTTTTTGCGAATGATATAAAATTTTTTTTTGGATCGGTGATTCGGAAAAATTGAAAGTCAAAGGTATAAAAAAAAGGAAAAATGATTTAAAAAAAGAAAATTTTAGTCAAAGTTGTCAAAAAATTGGGAGGGGAGAGGAAAGGGAAGGCGGGAAATAAAAAAATGGCGTCGCGCTTAAGAAAATTAAAAAAAAAAAAAAAATTTTTTTTTTTCTTTTCTCCTCATTTTCCGGTTTTATCGTTCAAAATAATAATAATAAGGAAATCGGAGGAAATCGTTGTTGATGTTTGGAAAAAAAAAAGGATTGATTTCATTAAGTTATTATTATTATCATTATATAATTTTTGTTGGAGTAAAAATTTAAAATGGCGTCGAGGAAAATAATTTTTTCTAGGAATATTTTTTTTTATTATTTTTATTACGTAATATATATAAATTAGGGTATTAATTAAAATTTCAATATTTAAATGTAATTACGTTGAATTTATTCAATCTCAAACCGGAAACCGGATTGAGTTTATGTATAATAAATGAACGAGGAGGAGGAGTTAGGGGTAGGGGAAGGGGAGGGGTTTTTTTAAATGAAGGAAATTAAAAAGAGTTAAAAATATTTTCAAGTCATTAACCGGAATTTTTGGGAAAAATTATTCGAGTGGTTTTAAGGTTCGATTCTCGTTAGAAATATATATACATTCAGGAAAAAGTAATTTTTTTTTGTTTTGCTTAGGAAAACTTCATCGTTTCCGGTTTAAAAAATAATAACAATAATAATAATAATAACGTTAATGATAAAACAAAAAGAGAAAAATTTTCCGAATCGAAAAAAAAACACAATCGCGAGATATATATTTAAAGAAAAATTATTTTTACTGAAAAATGTCACGTGTACAAGGTCAAAGGTCAAATGAAATTTTTTTTGTAACTCGTAGAAAAATATTTAAACGATTCATAAATTATAAAAATAATACATATAATTTCGGTGTCGTTAATAAAAACGGAAAATCGATTTCCGGAAAAACACAAAACGTCATTTCCGGTTTAACGCGAATAATAATAATAATAATCGACAAACGTATCGAAGCCCAGTTTAGGAATTATTTCGTTTCCATCGAATAAGATGGAAACACAAAGATTTACAAGAATTGTTGTGAAGTCATAGGTTACAACAAGACGAAATCTATTCAGGCATTTATTCCTTTGGGATAAACGGGTAGAAAAACCTGGAATAAATGTTGAAAAACATTCCGACGAACATTAGGAACGAAATAGTCGCGATTATGAGTGAAAATAATAATAATAATAATAATAATAATAATAATAATAATTTAACACATTTTCAAAGATCAATTTAAATCTCTCGGGATGTTACGTATCGTTCGTGACGTAACTCTTACGTCATACGACTCGATTTTTAAAATTTATAATTTTTTTTCTTTTTTGCAATATGTAAACATCGTTTAAGGTAAAAAAAGAAAATGAAGAAGAAAAGAACAGAAAAGAAAAGAAAAGAAAAGAAAAGAAAAGGAAAAAAAAAAATTATTGCTTTTGAAAGTAAGAAACAACAGAAAACAGAAAAAGTTTTCTAAACTTAATTTATAAAAAAAGTTTTTTTTTCTTTTCTTTTTCTCTAAATGTTATTTTTC